CACGTAAATCTCGTTCATCATTTTATCAATCAACTAATTTACCACCACAAACTGATATTGAACATCTTCAAACAAATTTTATTGATGGAAAATTAATTATTGAAGCTCCTTATTTAGAACAAAATAATTCTGATCGTAGAATAAAACCTTCTATTATTAATAATATTAATAGTAGTGGTAGTAGTAGTAGTCATAATCAAGGATCTAACTGGTAAGGTATTCACATATATCTATATAACAAAATAACAGTTACTATCACACTTGTTTTAACAATAATCATTGTTCTTGCTTTTTGTTAGTTTATCTCCACATGTTCTATGTTATTTTGTAATATTTTTCACGATAATTATGCGTCTCTTTTGCATATATATTGCTTCTTATTGATTAACTTTTTTTTGTTTGTATATACAATTCATACTTTAATTCAGTAAGGAATTTTATTCTTATAAAATTCATATTAATTAAAATCGACTGTTTTCTCTTTTTTTTTTGTTGAATAGAATAAAGAAAAGAATGATATATTCTATTATCATTTCATTTATTCAATCCCAAGGCTAATATTCTTTCTCATTTCAATAATTCACATTTGCACATCTGCTTTTTGTTTTATATTTTTTTATACTAAAAAATGAAAGTGATTAATGCCAAGGTCTAATTCTTTTTACATTTTTAATATAAAACAAAATATTTTATTCATATATATATGAATCACTTATTCAATCCATCAGTAAATAAGTATGTATATTTACTTTAAAAATTGTTTATGTTAACGATTAATGTTCATTATTTTTACCTTGACTTTTTTTTTAAACATATGCATATACATATATATATATACGATGTTTTAGGCGACAAATAAGTGAATCATATGGAACATCTACCATCGATGATTTATTTCAACACCGAACAGCGACATTTAAAGAATTTGTTCGCGTTCGTGGACTACGAACTCATTTCTCAACTTGATGTGCAATCAATCATATCAAACATTTATATGTGTATTGAGATAAGCAGGAAAAGAACCAGATGATGTATCTGCATATGTTTCTTTATTCATCTCTTTGCACACATACAGACCTTATTCCGGTGATTGTTAATATTATTCTTCTTCCTTCATCCCTCTCACACAAAAAAAAACTACTCTAATCATATTAATACATCAAACACTAAGTACAAATGCGCATCACAACCACCATTCACAATTATATTTTTTTTTTCACAATCATCGTCATCAAAATTTAGCCTAGCGAAATGTTTTCTATTGGTATTATTTAATAAATCATATATAATTCAGACTGATTTTTATAAGTAAAAAATAGAGATACATATTGTCAGACTAAACCTAAATTTAGCTTTATTTCGATTATATGCAGTCATGAAATATTTAATAATACTTCTATATATATACATGTATAGCTATATTTAAGTTATTCGTTTTTCTTGCATATTATTGTATTAAATTATGATAATAGATATAAAATCGACTGTGAAATTAATCAAGCATGATTGTTATATTTATAGTTATTAATTATTGGTAAGCATTGATCACTTTCGCTATGTTCCACTGATTAGTTTCAAATAACATGTAATCAAAGCTCGTATTTCGAGAATGTTATTCACAGAGGAAATCAATTTTTCGAGAAAAATTTTTTTTTCAACAAATATCGTAAGTATTTGATGAAAAATAATAGGTAAATATTAAGTGTTTTTGTTTTCTATATAAACTAACTCCAAAAGAAAAGTAAAACAGTCTGTAAAAATAGATCAAGGACATACATTTGTTGTGTTTCATATATTTGGAAAGAAAAAAAAAAAGTAATTTTTTCATCAGTAAAACTTCTATTTCTCTCAGTTTTAATGTCATACTCAAGGTGGTTTAGATGGAAAAAAAAGAATAAAATATAACTAATCTCATAGCTTGTTTAAAATATAAGACTTATCATTATTTCCGATTATGTCTATTATAAATATCATGAAACAACATTGGAATTTGTCAAAGAGAATCCAACATACATATCCTACAGCTTATAATAAACAACCTATTCATCTTTGTTTAACTAATTTCAAAGGTATATTTAGTAAAATCATATTAAAGATTTAATTACGCATATGTATGAATGGATAATTATTAACGTCATTCGTTTCTTAATATGACTATTAGTTTATAATAAATATGTTTTAAAGATTTTTTTAAACGTCTATGTAACAATAAAGAAGATTGTATTTTTAATTACGTAAAAGTTTTATATATATATATATATTTATGCCACTTAAAGTACAACAGATTTACCAATTCCTTTTGAACAAAGAAAAACGTAAATATGAAGTATATGTTGAACTTTCTTTGAAAGAAAGAAAAAGGAAAAAACATTATTCACGCATCATGTCTTTTTCATTAGCATTCACTCATATTTTCATTAGTATGAAGTAATAGCAACACGAAGCATGCTATTGTGACATACACTAATTACGCATGTTTGTATTAAAATGCATCCATCGTTCTTTAATCGCGGGATGATACTGATAAATATGCTGATCATTGCCTAAAATTTTAGACCATTCACCAAACTAAATCTTTCAGGTTGCGTCAGAGTGCTCTTCTTTTTTGCTTCCGAGTATTGACAAAATATTTATCTAAGACACGTCTTTGTCATTGTCATTCACGAATTCCTAGGAGACATATACATTTATCGCTGTTTTATATAGCTATTTTATTTTTTATGGAAAGAAAAAGAGAGATGCAACAATACTATTCTTTTGTTCGATTATAGTAACAAATCAATTTTTGTAGATCATTTTTTCTTTGAAAAGCGAATATAGCCATACTATGATTGTCTTCATTCTTTTTTTCTAGAATATTTTGCCTGAGTGCTCATCAATTGTCAATGAAGGACGATATTCTTCTAATTGATTAAAACATTCAACTAGCCACCCACTCACTCACTTACTTAGAGCTCATCTATAGATAAAAAAGAGAACTGTATTATATAAGCAAATCTCATATAGTTTTCACAACTGTTGCGCTCTTTTCATTGTTTGTCGTTATTAAAACCTTGGTCAATTGACACATTAGTTTATATTGTTGATAATCAAATGTGTTGACTGATAAAATACACTATCGTTAGTATTCTACAAAGTAAAAAAAAAGACAGATGATAACTTTACGAGTAAAGATGAATATTTATCTTGAGAAAAGACGACCTATGTATATATATGTCTTTCAACGCAATATACATGATAGAATAAAATTTCTGTCGTCAATAACATCTTGTGTAGCTCGTTTTATAATCAACGAAGCATACTGCACAGAACATTATACGTCATTTTCAGAGTTTCTCTGCATTAAGAGTAAGTTATAATTTCATGTTGAATAAAACCTATTTGTTTAATGATTAGTTTCAAATGGATAAACATGAATAATAGTTGGAGAGATTATATAGAGAAAGACAATAAATATATTCTGACAGTTGTTTTTTTTTTCAGTACCCGATAGATCGTTAATAAGTTTACTTTTTTTGATAAATAAACGAGTAAATTATGAGATTAGGATTGTATTATGTAACGAGCGGTGATGACTATGAAATACTTTATTATTAAAATATTGTAAGATAAATTTAAATAAGTACAACAATAAGAAAGTATCTTTTTCCTTTAATAGAATAACACATCTTAATAACAAAAAAAACGCTGTGATCCAAGAGTATAATGTGAGCAAAAAAAAAGAAAATTAAGTGAAAATAGAGAGACAGGAAAAAAAAAGAAAGACATCCGAGCTTTTGACGACATGACAGAGATGAACGATGAATGTTTTCAATACTCTTAAGAAACTTAAGGTACATCGAACTATAGTAACACTTCCTATTTAAAGATCACACATATCCACAATCATCACTAGAGTTTATATAAACATGTGTTTTCTGATTTTTTCTATGTCTAGCATTTTTAAAACGGAAGATATATTGCATTAACTCTTTAGAAAGAAAAATAATATATTTATCAAAGTAGGATGATGTCTCTAAATATATCCTTATGGAAAATAGCACATATTCTGTGTGTTAGTAGTATAAATCTATGTAAAAAATTTCGATGAACTTTCTAACTTGTTTTCCTCTTCAAAACCTTATAATGTCTATCATTGCATGGTTTGTAATCAGTCATAATGAGAATGATATATTAATAGATAAATATGAAAAGTTTATCGATGATATAAAACGAAAGGAATAAAAACGATATGTTAGTATTTGATCGATCTAGCAAAATGACAATAAATAATTTCATAGGATATATAGAAAAGAATCGTTTTTTTTATTGATCTTATGAGACAAATAATCTTTTTCTATTATCCATTCGATATATCACGTAGAATGATAAAATATAAATGTTTCCTAAGACCAAATTGTCTGTATTTAATCGTTATAAGAAGAAAATTAGTTTTGACAACGATATAATTAGATTGATGATGATAAACAAAAATAAAATCTGATTGAAAAAAATATTTTCTCTTGATATTTAGCCTTATTATATATTTATATAAATGATTAGATAGACCATCTGTTTTTTGTTTTACGATATAACACTCATTATATAATGGTTTTCTAGTTAATTTTTTTGTTAGAAGTTTTTTCTTCTTTTCTTTCATTCTTAATCATCCAAAGAAAAGACGAGAGAGAGATATAGAAATTACTTTTAGTTTTTTTTTCTCTGCATCTATTCGCCCTCTTAATCTTTATAGTAGGAATGAAAGAAATGTCACAGTAAATAGATGTGTTTCTATGATAACTCTTATAGAAAGAGAAAAACTATTTCCATTTATTTTAGATATATTTATCAACACAAAATGATTTATAAATATGAAAATATTGTTTGATCAATTATTACTGTTGTTTAATAGTTTTAATCATCGAACAACAGAAGGTTCTATTTTGTTTTCATACTTAATTTTCTTTTGATCATGTTTTATTGTCAACAAAAGAAAAATATAATAAGTATATATAATAATTATGGGCGACTTGACAATTGCTACGCTATGTCAAGCACTTGCAAATATAACTAATAATCGTTGTAGTTTTATTGAAAAATTAAATACATGTCGATGTTTTGATGATATCATGACTCAAAGTATGATAATTAATATTAAGTTTTACCTTGAAAAAAATATTCTTCTCTCTGTTTTTTTTATTCATAGAACCAGTAACCGTTATTAATTCTGCACCTAACATAATGTTAAGTGAAGTATTTTTAATTTTTTTTGTTTTGGCATTATGGCTATCAGCTATTGGATTTTGTTTAAATCAATATAAATCACTTCGTCGTCTTGAAACTCAAGTACATTATTGTGGTAATCGAAAAGATCCATTAAATATTGGTGATATTAAAATAGTTGCACGGGAACAAGATTCAATAATATATCATAAAAAACGTTATTCAACTGTTATTGATACACATATTAATCCTGATGATTTAAAAGCTATGCAATATGTTACAGAATATTTACCAAAAAATGTTTCAACATTAGCACCACCCCCACCACCGCCATCATCACCATCATCAATTATGACAGGTCTTGTTATCGGTCGAGAAGATCTTACTGCTAATATACCTTTATCAATAACATCATCTATATTTAATACAACAACATCATTACCATCAACTCCTTATACTCCATTGACTACACATAATGAAATAGCTGAAGATCAACAATCACCATTAGAATCTGCATCATCATTTACATCTTTTGTTTTAATTGAAACAAATGCTAATAAATCTATTGGTCGTACATCTTTTGCTCGTCTAACAGGTAAAAACCCAACGACGATAATAAGAATAAGTTTTTTTTTAAAGTCGTATATGCCAATTATAGAATTTTACTACACTCATAACATAATTGTGTTTTCATGTTAAGAAGAAAATAATGATCACAAATCCTCTATCTCTATAAATACTCGACACGTCATTAAGCTTAACAAAAACTACGTTCATGGTGATGTGAAGATTTCCGAGAAAACATCTTTTCATATTTATATTCTAACCAATATATCAAATAAACATCATAATCATTTGAAATAATGACATACATTTAGAATGTAATTTTTAGAATTATTACAGATATTTTCTTGTTTACAATAGCATACTTAGAATAGCTTCTTTTTCTCTCTTGAAAAATGTCCTTAAAGATAATGTCGATATAGAAAAAGTTTCAATACCAAATTTATTAAGATTATATATTTGAATTATAGAAATAGAAAACTATATTCAAATTTCTAGTTGATAATATTAATTCTTTGTTTTTATTCGATAGTCTACCTCAAAAGATTTACAAATAAAACTGATTAGAATTCCAGTAAAGAAAAATGTTTTTACTTCATATTATTACTTCTGAAAATTCCAGCTGAATAATTTTTGATTTGCAAAGTATCCTACAATACAATATTCCTAATGTAGTCGTTTAGCTTAAATATAGTTCTAATGTAATTGTGTTTATAAATAACGATAATATTTATTATATATATATTCCTGCGATATGGTTCCTAATGTCTTATTATGATAAGAGAAAAAAAACATAACATGGGTCATAGAGTTTCCAATAGACATGAATAGAACAAATAACTTCTTTTTCTTATTCTCTTTGAGTTAATGCTTTGATTCATATCTAAGTGTTGTTATTGTTGTTATAGTTGTTTTTGACTCAATTTATTTTTAGTGTTTAAATTGTTGTTTTATAATTGACATAACAGCTGTTCCTATCAGATAAATTTGTACATGTCAATAAATCTTGACAAAAATATGTTTAGGAAGAAAGATTTGAAAAGATTATTTTGTCAATGTAAAAATAGAAAAAATTCTTATTTTTTTTGTTTTGTCGTCTACATAAGTAAAAACAAAACAGAATTTGATCTTAAAAATAAAATTAATACAACATTTTTGTTTTGTTTTTCTAGAAAGTGGTCAGGTAAAAACAGGTCTTACTGTTCCACGTCTTTCTGCAACAAACAGTTTACGTTCATCTTGGAATGATACATCTATATATGAGACAAGTCGTTCTGCACAACATTTATCGGTACCATCGAATAGTCTTCGATCGACTCGTTTTTCTGATGGTAATATAGCTTTTGGTATTCCTGGCGCTTCACAGACAACTTCAGAAAATCAAGATGAACAATTACTTGATCCTCGTCTTATACCGAGAACAGTTCGTCGAAGTTTATTAGCTTTACATCGTGAAAGTCATGAAAATATAAATATGCAACGTACGAAAGAAAAAACTCAATCAGAAAATGATGTACA